GGTATCGGAATATTCACTTTACTACTTTCCAATGATCTCTTCCAGGATTGTATTGATACCTGCTAACTAGACTTACGGCATAATAAATGTCTGGGGGAGTGCACATCATAGCAAACATCAAATTCCCAACAACACTATAATAAGAAACTCGAGACATGTCTTCTTTTTATTTTGAGTCTTTGAACACATTTAAAGGCTTAAAGTTTGAGACATGTCTTCTTTTTCTTTTTAGTCTTTGAACACATTTAAAGGCTTAAAGTTTACCCCTTGCTATAGGAGTATCCATCAAGTTGCAACTATTCATTCAAAAACGTTTCAATATTTTCTTTATATAAGTTTCTTGAGATAAACTCAAAAATTTCTTGGAACGATCTCTTTGAATCTTAATACCCAATATATAATCTCCTTCACCCATATCTTTCATATCAAATGATTTTGTATGTCGTGACTTGAAAATTTTCACATACTCCAAATTATGTCTAGCTGATAACATATTATTTACGTAAAGAGAAGAATTACAAATTTTCCATTTGACTTTTTTACGTAGAAGCAATGGTCTTCATCAATCATGGTGAAATCAAATGACATCACCTCCTTATGAAATATCATATACAACTTCCTTGAAGAATGCTTTAGGCCATAAATTGATCGTTTTAATTTACAAACTTTCTTTTCTTGACCTTTAACAATAAAACCAACTGGTTGTTCCATGTAGACTTCTTCATTTAATTCTCCATTGAGAAAAGCGTCTTCACATCCATTTGGTTTAATTTTAAATCTCAACGTGCAAAAATAGCTAAAAGTAATTGTAAGGATGTAAACTTCACAACTTGTGAAAAAGTATCCTCATAGTCTATTACAACTTCTTGAGTAAAACCTTTTGCAACCAATGGTGCTTGGTGTCTTTCTATTGAGTCATCTGATTTACGTTTAACTTTAGGAATTCATTTATTCCCAATAGTTTTGCGTTCCTTAGGAAGTTCAACTAGATCCCATACTTTATTGGTTTTCATGGACTCCAATTCTTCTTTCATCGCTTTTAACCATTCATACCTTTCAGGTCTCGATAAGGCCTCAATTACAGAATTAGGTTCATTCAATTCTATAAGAGATACCAAGAAAACATAATCCTCAATCGCATAAGTTTGTTTTGATACACCTTTTCTTGTACTCTTACGGATTTGAAGTTCAGATTCCTCTATAGGATTATGGGATTTATAACTCCCATTTGGACCAGGAATCATTTCTTGATCCATTGAATTATCAAGTATGTTTGAAAACATTATCTGGTCTTTTGAACTCAACATTTCGTATAGAGTCTCAACTTCACCTATTTCACCCTTTTTGGGAAAATCATTAGTTTACCAAACCCACCCGAAATGATCTTTAATAAATGCCGCACAATCCCACAATCGTAGATCATGCAGTTTGTTTTACAACCAGTCCAAGTTCATAAGGAGTGGAAGACACTGATTTAGAAGGCACTTTGTTCAATATGTGAGTCACAATCAATAATGCATCTCCCTAGATAGAGATACATAAATTTTTCTGCACCATCATTCATTTTGTCATGTATAATAATGTTATATTCCTTCTTTCAGCTACATTATTTTGTTGAGGTGTATAAGGAGTAGTTAGATGTCTGATAATACCCTTTTCAATACATAATTCTTCAAATTGATTTGATAAATATTCACGTCCTCGGTCAGAGACTTTATACTTTTATCTAACTGACTTTCAACTTCATTCATATATATTTTAAAACACTCAAATGCTTCAGATTTATGAGAAATCAAATAAACATAACCAAAGCGCGTGAAATCATTATTAAATGTAATGATGTATGTAGCACCAGACCATGCCTTCACATTCATTGGACCGCAAATATCAGAGTGAATTAATTGAAGTGGGAACTCATCTCTTTTAGCCTTCCCAAAAGGTTTATGTGTAATCTTACCAGCAAAAAAATATTCACAAGTTGACATATCAATCTTTGTGAAAGAACCTAAATGTCCTTATTTTTCCAACCTATTAATTCTATCTTACCCTATGTGACCTAATCTTGCATGTCATGTAATAACATCAATATCATTGTTACTTTCATAGCATGTCACTACACAACGATCAACATGATAGCCATATGTTAAAGAATTACAATCTAATACGATAGAGTGATCATAACAAAGTTCAAAACTATATAAAACATTATCTAGAGTTATTCTTACACCATTACGACTAAAAACCGAATCAAAACCAACGTCTAATAGAACAAACATAGATACTAAGTTTCACTAAATTTTTAGAGCATATAGGACGTCTTGCAACATCAAAGAACGGCCACCATGCAAGTCCTCTTTGCAAGTGCCTATACCTTTGACTTCAAGCCTAGAATTATTTCCTACGTAGAACCACCTTGATTTAGATGAAACTTGATGAAACTCGACAAACATCTCTCTATCTTGACTCACGTGGTCGGTGGATCCTGAGTCTACAATCCACATAGGATAAGATTCAGTTAATAAAGAAGTGCTAGAAACATATATAGCACTTAGGGATTCGTTATTTAGAAATGCTACCGTTTTGGGCTCAGTGAATTCACAAGCAAAATGCCCCAACATTTGCAATTGTATCACTTCATTTTGTTCTTGTCTCTCTACTTGAAAAACTATTTTCACTTATTGGAATTTGATTTCTTCTAAGTCTTAGTGGGTCCTTCTCCAATCTCTTTGTTTTTCCCATATCTTTTCCAGTTTTTTCTTGCACCTGAAGAATTGTACCACTTGACTTTTCCACAAAGGCATTAGAAGCAGTCTTAGCAGCACCGACACTCATATTCAAGTTCAACATGATGTGAAACATCGAAAAAGTATTGATGCTATCATTATGGGTCAAGTTAACCTTCTAATGTTCTCAATTATTGGGAAGAGACCGAATTACTGTCTGAACTTGTTGATCATCTGAAAGAACATGGCCAACACTCTTGAGTTGAACTATCATGTTTGACATCAACCTAAGGTGTTGTTTTGATATTTAGATCATGACGTTTTGTAAGTGTCAAATTTTATAGTCAAATGTCATAGGTGGGTAACAAACGTGCCCCCATACGTTCCTCGCAGATGTGCCCACATAGCATGAGTAGTAGGGAATTTCATACATTCATGTATGAGGTCATCAACTACATTACTAACTATTACTCCACGTGCAATTGAGTTAGCCTTCTTCCAAGCTTTGTAAGCTTCAAGATCCCTTCAGAGTTAGGCAGTATTACCCCCTTCTGGTTCATTCAGAACAGGATTTCTACCTTCCAAAGCATTTTTCTCTTCCAGTACATACCATTTTTTAAGACTACAGATGTCGTAATTATCACCAATAAGTTTTTCACCTTTGTTTAAGTCAACAAAGATACTTTTTGATGTCATTTCTGTTATTGACATATAATTATGCAAGAATTTTAATCAATTATGCATGCGACGTACACAATCAATCAAATTGTTCTCATAGAGATTTCATATTTAATGTAAAATCAAAAAAGTACGTATGTATACAATCATCATCTACAAACTAAATATTTAATAAAAATTCAAATATAATTTCTTAATGTGTATTCTATTAAAATTCAAATCTAATATCTTAATGTGCATAATTAATATATTGAAGACTTTGATAACAAGGATTTTTTAAAGTATGATAACATAATTTGAAAAAAGAACAAACTACATAATTCATATCCTAAAAAAAAACTAAAGTTTACAAGTAATCCAAAGACTTAAATCCTCCCACAAGTCTTCAAGACAACTAATGTAAACTCTAAAAGGTTGACGGGGAAATATGTCATGATAAACATCAATCAATCTACTACCCCAAGGTTCACGGAGAGCATCTGTTAAATAAACTAAGGCTCTCAATCTGAAATTCCCTTATAATCAGCCAGTTCAGCCCATTTATTTTTAAAAAAGGGAATAAAATCACGTGCTGACATATTTGGGGATATCTTCAATGACTCAAACTCTTTAAATTTTCTCTTTTTTCCTTCGGATGGCCCTTAGGTTCCTTGACATATTTTTTATCGTCGTTGGGACACTAATCTGTATTAGTTTACGCCCTCGGAAACATATCTTACGACGGCTTACTCTTCTACCTTGTCCCTTTGCTCGACTTTGAGAACTCCCACTTGGAGTAGTTTGAGCATGTTCTCGTTCAGCCATTTCTGAAATGGAAATAAAATGAAAATATGGTTAATACCATTTAATGCGACAACACATGTCGCAAATTTTTGTAAAAGACAATAAATGTTCAAGGAACGTAAGGATTAAACTAATTTAAAGTTATAATCTGGTAAAAAACAAGTGATTAATATTCTTCAATTAATAAAGAAGATAACTTGTGGTCTTTACAAAAACAAAAGTGAACCACAATCTAATTTGACCACTTGAAAAAACTTATGCTAAATAAAATACTAAAAGAAATACTTTGTTAACAAAAAATACTCCAAAACCATTGTCTATTTTTCATAAAAAAAATAGTAAGACTTTATTATTTCACAAAAAAAATGGTATAAGTATTTTACTAAACAAAATTGGATCATCTTATTTTTCTTTTTCTTTTTAATACTTAAGAGAAAAGGACAAAAGAAATCCTCTTTTTCATTTTCTTTTATAATTATTTGGATAGTGGGATCATCCCTCTTTCTTCTTGATCGTTACAGAAAGAGACAAAAATCAAAAGAAAGGAAATAAAGAAACACGTCCCAAATAATTTTAAAAAATATGTGGGACTATTTATTTTCCTTTTCTTTTTAATTCTTAACAGAAAAGGATAAAAGAAATCCTCTTTTTTTCTTTTTCTTTTTTTAATTTATTTGGATAGTGGAATCATCTTTTTTTATTCTTGATCTTTACAGAAAAAGACAAAAAATCAAAAGAAACGAAAGAAAGAAACACATCCCAATTTTTTTAAAAAAATTACGCGGGACTATTTATTTTTTCTTTTCATTTTAAATCTTAATAAAAAAGAGTATAATTTTCCCTTAAACTCCCTATCATTTTTTTTATTTTTTATACTTTAAATTATTTAGATAGAAACAATCACTTTTTGAAGTCCTTATCTAACTTAAACTTTTTTTTTTCAACCTTTTATTTAGATTAAAAACATCAAAAAGAAAACAAATAGAAGCAAAAACGTTTCATTCACGACAGAGAGAAAAACAATTTTCTTTATCCTTTCCTTCATCCACGATAGACAGAAAAAAATTATTCTCTACCGAAAACAAAAACTAAGCATCTTTAATTATTTTGCCAACAAATAATAAAAGACACTTCATCGTCAGAATACCAAGTACAAGAATTAAAGGTATGTTCTTAAATTTAAAATCTAATTCAATTTTCTTCTAACATATGAATTCGATTTCACCATAGTTTTAAAAAATAAATATATTGATCTTCATATAAATATTCTTGACACAAGATATATGTATATATATAGATATATATATTTAGTAACACACAACCAGTACATAATTTCAACAAATACTACAATATCATGGAGCATTTAACGGTGGCTCTGCTACCAATGAAAGAATTTAAATAAAGTTTGGTATAAGATTTGTGTGCCTTTGATTGTTGCAGCAGAATAAAATTCACAAATTGAATGATTTTCTCCAAATCCTTCTTTGGTGGAATGAAATTTACGATCTGGATGATTTGATCCAAATCCTTCTTTTAATCACTGGGAAACAAAGATAGTTTCACAAACTAAATGTTTTTATTGTGTCTTGTTTTTTGTTATTCTTTTTGTTTCTCCTTATTGAAGTGTTAAAGAAAAGAAAAAAATAACTTAGATTAAAAAGTGAGAATATTAATGTTGGAACAGTTACTATGTAACTATTCCCACTCCTTTTTAAATTAATATTTATCTTCTTCTCCTTTTTTTTTAATCAGAAAAAAATAAGTTTTGGTTAGATCGGGTCGGGTCGATTCACATGGGTACCCAAACCCAAAACATACATCATTGTCCCCTCCAATATACAACAGTCCAACAACGTAGTACAAGCAACTTTGAATTAGTTGAAGAGTCCAAAGCTCCACATAAAAAACACCTTCCTTCAACATATATTTACTCTCTTTTGTATAGTGAATATAGTTGAAGACTTAGAATATTTTCTTTTGTCTCAACTCTCTCCGTCACTACACTCACCTCACTATACACTATAATATTTTTCCACACTTCTCATGTTCTTTTTTCATACCTCACAAAGGAAGAAACACCAATATTTACATGAGAGAAATTCTTCCTTATATTTAATATGAATAACGTGAATAATTATGTAGGTAAATGAATAGAAGAATTATGTCTCGGAGGTTACAGGAGCTACAAGACATTATAAGTGAAATAATATGAAAGATTTTGCAATGGGTAAAAGAAATAATGATCTTTTCATGCTACAAAGAAACATTTTAGTAATGGAGTACCACATGTGAGTCCATGATTCAACACTTAACCATTTTTACATTAAACATTTTAAAATTAAAATGCTTAATTCATCAATAATTTGATTTTTAAAAAGAAAATTATGATAATTTAATGTGAATGGAGAAAGTAGCATTTTGTGCATTGAGATTCTGTGAAACTTGAAAGTAGAGTAGCATTTTGTGTATTGAGTTATTGTGAAACTTGAAAGTAAAATGACATGAATTTGCACAAGACTATAGATACATGTTCCACTTAAGGAAAGAAGTGAAGAATAAAGAAAATAAAATCTAAACTAATAGTAGCATGTTGTGCATTGAGATATTGAGAAACTTAAAAGTAAAATGACGTGAATTTGTGTGAGATTGTACACGTTTCACTTAACGAAACAAGTGAGCAATAAAGAAAATAAAATGTACAATGTTGTTCTACGTGTTAAGGAATGAAGTAAAGAATTAAGGGAATAAAATTTATAGTAATAGTCTTAGTCTTAATCTAAGTGAAGATTATTTGTTGATTTGGTAATTTGATGTACATGGAGATTATTTAATGGTTTGGTAGTTTTAGGACTCACACTCATTAAAGAAAATAAAATGTACATTCTTACTCTATGTGTTAAAGGAAAGAAGTAAAGAATAAAGGAAATAAAATTTACAATAATAGTCTTAGTCTTAGGGCTCGTTTGGATGGGCTTAATAAAAACATCTTTAAAAAAGTACTTTTGAAAGTGCTGAAACTTATTTTTAAAATAAGCAGTTATGCGTTTGGATAAAAGTGCTAAAGTTAAAAAAAAGTTGTTGATGTGTTTGGCAAATAAGTGCTGATAAACAGCTTTTTAAATCAAAATGTCTGAAATACCCTTAAAAGTTGTTAACATAATAAAAGTTAATTAATTTATATTTTACAGCCATAAATAATTATATTTTGCTACCATTCACATATTTCTTTCTCATCACAAATTATTTATAAGAGGAATATAAACTTATTATAGATTTTAAAGATATATAATTTAAATAGATCAAAGAACGATTTAAGATTTTATTTTAGTTTCATCCATAGGTAATAATAATAGTCTATCATTCACATATTTCTTTATTATCACAAATTATTTATAAGAGGAATATAAATTTTTATTTAAGTTATATGTGCAACTAATTTTACATTTTAATAATATATAATTTGAATAGATCACTTGATACTTGGGACAATACTTTGAAAGATTTCGAGTGTTTAGGAATGAACGTTGGATTTTTATGTACAAGGATAAGTAAGCTTGATAGTTTATCAAGTGAATCGAAAGACGTTCTTGAATCAAAGAAAGTTGAGCTAGCTGAAGCAAAAGAGGAAATGAGGATTATTGAAGAAAAGGTATTAAAAGTGAAACAAGTGATGAAGAATGTAGAATCTGAAATTCGGGCTTTAACAAAGAAAGATGCATACTTTGAGCTCAATTTCAAGGCATTGACTGCTTCTCCATGGTAGAAAAAAATTGGTTATAATTATTTATTGAAGAAGCCTTTTGAGATTCCTAGCAGGGATATATAACTCTTTCTGCTAATTTTTTGTGAGGTTATATGAGCCATCATATCCTTTTTCTAGTGTAATTGGCTAAACTTTTTGTAAATGTTCGAAATTAAATATTTATTTATATCGGATCGTATGTTCATTAGGAGACTTTGACCAAAATAAGCCATTCTATAAATCAATGTACCAAAATAGTATATTTTTAGTTTTTTTACAAAATTAGTATGAACGTGGTTCACAGTAACGTTTTATGCTTTATTTAATTTTAAAAAATTTAATGGAAAAAAAAGCAAAAGTTCACGGAGCAAACTGAAATAAAACGTTATTGACAATAATGTTTTATACTTCGTTATCTAGAATCACGTTTTAGAGCTAAAACGTTACTCAAATTAATAGTAATTATCTATCATCCACACGTGAAAAGGGAAAAATAGAAGAAAGAAATGTTAGAGTTATGTGGGTAATTTGAAGATTGTATAAAAATATTAAGGATAAAAAGGTAAAAATGTGGTCAACTTAAAATAGCTTATAAGCTGGAAAAAAAAAGCACCCCTACCCCAGCTTTTAACTTTTGGCTTAAAATAAGTTTTTTTTAACTTAAAATAAGTTATTTTGAGGATTGTCAAACAACTAAATAAGTCAAAAATCAGCTTTTAAGTCAGTTTGACCAGTTTTTAAGCTGACCACATTTTTACCTTTTTATCCTTAATATTTTTATACAATCTTCAAATTACCCACATAACTCTAACATTTCTTTCTTCTATTTTTCCCTTTTCACGTGTGGATGATAGATAATTACTATTAATTTGAGTAACGTTTTAGCTCTAAAACGTGATTCTAGATAACGAAGTATAAAACGTTATTGTCAATAACGTTTTATTTCTGTTTGCTCCGTGAACTTTTGCTTTTTTTCCATTAAATTTTTTAAAATTAAATAAAGCATAAAACGTTACTGTGAACCACGTTTATACTAATTTTGTAAAAAAATTAAAAATATACTATTTTGGTACATTGATTTATAGAATGGCTTATTTTGGTCAAAGTCTCCTAATGAACATATGATCCGATATAAATAAATATTTAATTTCGAACATTTACAAAAAGTTTAGCCAATTACACTAGAAAAAGAATATGATGGCTCATATAACCTCACAAAAAATTAGCAGAAAGAGTTATATATCCCTGCTAGGAATCTCAAAAGGCTTCTTCAATAACTAATTATAACCAATTTTTTCTACCATGGAGAAGCAGCCAATGCCTTGAAATTGAGCTCAAAGTATGCTTCTTCCTTTGTTAAGGCCTGAATTTCAGATTCTACATTCTTCATCACTTGTTTCACTTTTAATACCTTTTCTTCAATAATCCTCATTTCCTCTTTTGCTTCAGCTAGCTCAACTTTCTTTGATTCAAGAACGTCTTTCGATTCACTTAATAAACTATCAAGCTTACTTATCCTTGCACGTAAAAATCCAACGTTCATTCCTAAACACTTGAAACCTTTCAATGTATTGTCCCAAGTATCAAGTGATCTATTCAAATTATATATTATTAAAATGTAAAATAAGTTGCACATATAACTTAAATAAAAATTTATATTCCTCTTATAAATAATTTGTGATAATAAAGAAATATGTGAATGATATACTATTATTATTACCAATGGATGAAACTAAAATAAAATCTTAAATCGTTCTTTGATCTATTCAAATTATATATCTTTAAAATATATAATAAGTTTATATTCCTCTTATAAATAATTTGTGATGAGAAAGAAATATGTGAATGATAGCAAAATATAATTATTTATGGCTATAAAATATAAATTAATTAACTTTTATTATGTTAACAACTTTTAAGGGTATTTCAGACATTTTAATTTAAAAAGCTGTTTATCAGCACTTATTTGCCAAACACATCAACAACTTTTTTTTTAACTTCAGCACTTTTATCCAAACGCATAACTGCTTATTTTTAAAAATAAGTTTCAGCACTTTCAAAAGTACTTTTTTAAAGCTGCTTTTATTAAGCCCATCCAAACGGACCTTTAGTCTTGCCTTCTTATTAGATGAATTGACAAGAGATATTCGAGATGAAGTGATAGGATTTATGTTACTATTGGATGACATAGTATTAATTAACAAGACGTATAGTGACACAAATGCTATGTTATAGGTGTGGAGACAAACTTTGGAGATTAAGTAAGTTCAAGTTGAGTAAGGACCAAGATAAATTATGTGGAGTGCAAATTTCATGATGATGCATGAGGTAGGCATGGAAGTGAGGCTTGACACTTGAAAAATTTCCAAGAGAAACAACTTCAAGTATCTTGGCTTTATAATTTAAGGGACCACATCATATTTGTGCGACGTGAATGGACTAGAGGCTCACCTCTGATGCTCTACCTAATAAAAAGGTACAGTCAAAACTCAAATGTAAATCTATTGAGTGGTGGTTAGACCAACATTGTTGTATAGGAAGATTATTAGTCAATCAAAAAATTTCACGATATTATTGTGGAGATAAGGATGTTGAGGTAGATATGTGATCATACTAGAGCGATAAAATTAGAAATAAGGTTATTCATGAAAAGGTGAAAGTAGCCTCGATGGTGGACATGATGAGAGAAGTGATACTGGAATGATTCAAACATGTGAAAGGAGATGTGTAGACGCATCATTGAGGAGGTATGAGAGGTTGGTTATAACAAGTACGAAGAGAGACAGAGGTAAGCTAAAAAAGTGTGATAAATAGGATATGATGAAACTTTAAATTACGGATAACATATCTTTAAATAAAAGGACATAGATAACACATATTAGGGTAGAAGATTAGTAAGGAGTTATTGTCCTTACGATGACTAGTGGTTAGTATTATTTATTTGAGCTTATCATTGGTATTATTGTTTTCTATAATGAATACTAGTTTGTTGTTAAGTTTCAAACTACATTGTTATTTTGGATCCCTTTTAATAGATTTCACACTGTTACTTTATCACTTGTTGTAATTTCTTTAATGTCTTCTCGTACCTGAATTTGTTGCACTTAAATTTATATTTTTCAAAATAGTTTATCGACATCCATAAGACAGTGACTTGAATTTATATTTTTCAAAATGGTTTCTCTGCAATAAGATAGTGACAGAAGACTGTACATTCTTACCTTTCAATGACCACACTTAAGAAATCTATCTAGACATGTTACTGTTTGCATCAGAAAAATATTACATTAAAAATTTAGAAATATTTTTTAGTCATGCAAAACACGAACTAATACACTAATTGAGCTATAATTCGAGACTAACATAAGTAAATCGTAAAAATTTCAGGAATCCCATAGTGTAATTCAATAATTAAACTCTGTCCTGACAAATTTAGTATTTACAAAAAATTCCTTAAATTTGTTGTGCCGTGATACTTTAAACTCTAGTGATACATGGTAAGTTTAAACTGTTGAGAAAAAAATGGGGAAAAAATAGTACATTTAATGTTGTTACTAAAACAGCTTAATTTACTGTAACAGATCATTAATCAGCATAAATTCAGCACATAATTGGATATTAATTTCAAATTTTTAAAATCAAAGATTATATCATCTATTTTGAATACATTTTTTATGAACAATCTGTTTTATTCCATTTACACACTTTTACCTCCCATTTCACCACCCTCCTTTTTCATTTTCCTATTTGTTCACCTAATGTAATTCTTCAAAAAAAATGGAAATATGAAAAAATAACAGGAACATTTATTTTTTTTCTTTTGGTGACTAAAAAAAGTGAACTAAGAGACATCAAACCAAAGATTAGATTAGAGCATGCAATTGTACGACTGTAACGACCTGTTTAGTCGTTTCGAGCAGTAGAATCACTGTGATAAAAACTGACTGTGTCCACGGATCACACAACGGATCGTCATGGTCACGACGGACCGTCGAGTGTCTCCGTGCCAAAACACTTAAACTCTGAAAATTGGGTAAGGGGAATCAACTCTCTGAACTTCGCGACGATATGGCAGCACGGACCGTCGTAGGCACGACGGACCGTCACAGACCTCTTAAATGAAATTGAGTCTCTGAACTCTGTGACGACTCTGCAGGACGGACTGTCGCAGGCACGATGTGCCGTCATGAGTGGCGTAATTCCACCTGGGTCGGATTTCTGCTAAAGTTTTTAAGGGGCATTTTGGACTATTTATGACAAACTGTACGAAATTAGGGGATAAGTTTAATAACTTATTTACTTGGGGGTTAAAGGAGATAACCTTGAAATAAATAGTGGGTTACTTTTATCATCTTTTATACTTAATTATATGGTAATTAGGGTAAAACAAACGGAATTTGAAAGACGAGAAAATTAAAAATAAAAGAAGAGAGAACGAGCGAGAGAGAAAGAAGAATGAAGAGAAAGCAAAAAACATTTGAGAAGTAGATTGCTGATCACGATTCTTCGGTGGAGGTAGGTTATGGTTTATGCTATTTCATAGTAAACTCTTAATAGCGAATGATCTGTATTGGGTAGTATTGTAAAGTCTTCTATATGCTTAATTGTGTGCTTGCATGATGTGATTATGTAATTGTAATGGATTGGAAAGATGAGGCTGTGAATCTTAAACCTTAAATCCACTTTGTTAATGATGATGCCTTGGTATAAAAGAAGGCTTGACGAACTAAAAGAATGAGATTAGTGGATCGGATGTCACGTTCCGACCCGTAGTATTAGGGGATCGGGTGTCACGTTCCGACACGTAGTATTAGGGGATCGGAGTGTCACGAACCGACACGTAGAATTAGGGAATCGGAGTGTCACGTACTGACACCAGGAATTAAGGGATCGGGTGTCACGAACCGACACGTAGTAGTAGGGGGTCGGAGTGTCACGTTCCGACACCAGGATGATAAAGAGAATGAATCTTGAATTGTGTTAATATACTCAAATTTAAAGAACCTATTTCCCAAATGAGTATGGTGTGGAGGCTTGAGTCCTCATAGATGTGCTTGAGTTGTGGCCAATGGTTATGGTAATTGTTGTTGTCACCAGTTGAGTATGGTAGTCGATTTTATGCTATTATCTGATATATATTGCTTTCTATTTTGAGTTGGCCGATGATACCTACTCAGTACTTGTGCCTTGTACTGACCCCTACTTGTAATT